TTCATGCAATGATATTGAATAAATTCCTAAGAAAAAGCTTAATCCATTTTTAAGCTTTCACATAAGAAGCTTGATACCTACCTGACTATTTGTTTTGTACATGATTTTTGAGTTAATACCTAAAATTTTTAAATATTTGATTAGGGATTAAACTCAAAGTCTCATATGCCTTAATGAGAATACCATCCATTATTATGAACATAAAAATTTTAGGTGATCATAAGTTACTATGAGCAAGTTGATTGGAGCAAAATTAAAATGTTAGATCAAGTTTAGTAAAACTAAGGCAAAAAGGCATGATATTAGATGGTATATATAATACATTTGTTACACGCTATTTGAAATATGGTGTCATGGAATAATTTGAGTGGTTTGGCATGTACAAGAATGACCAAGATGAAGCGACATTGGAATATGAGATGGAACAAATGTACATTAGAATATGAGATGGAACAAATGTGAAAGAGATAGGCTAACAATGGTGCTGAATCACCGTTGATAGAGGTAGAGAGATGATGTTTTAGAGTGTTAAAAATGACATTTTAGTCTAGAATTATCATGAATTTTGTCTTAATCAATAGAAGTGGTTAAGGAGGATTCGTAAAGTTGTTACAAAGTTTGGGATAAGAATACTAATGACTATGAAGCACTGCAATTAATATCTTCATGGGGATTATGATGGGGACATCCACAGGAGATTTCGACGTACTTACCATTGGAGGAATTGTACATTGGCGGCTACGATTCGGTCTCTATTTATGATGTTTTAGTGTATTTCTTTTATTTACTTTTGAGTTTTTCACTTGCACTCCTATGAGGGATTTTTTTCATGTTGTAACTTGAGGGCATATGTGTCTTTTACATTATATGCTTTTGGAGGTATATATATTAAGGCCTAGTCGTCGTATTATTTTTGAATGATGATTTTGATGAATGAAATTTCAGATTTTTGCTATTAGATCTCTTTGTGAGTTCTTGAGAGAAGTGATCCCTAGGATAGGGTCAATTATCACCCACCAGCTGCCAGTAGGAGTCGGGACTCGTGGTTAGTTTCTACTCATACTTTGAATTCTAATCCTTCCCTCCACCCTCAATTAATTCTCTTAATGTGATTACCTTCCTTGGTAATTAATTTCAAAGTGGATTTAATAACCTAATTTCCCCTAACTCTACCCGCCCCTCTCCTCTCCCATACTCCTTACCCGCCGGCCCTCCTGACTCCGCTGCCCCTCTCCATCTCTCCCAACCGGTTGTTCCACCAAAGAACACCACATGGATACTCTCAAGCTCATGGATGGCGGATCTGGAAGTTGATCACGGATTTGCGTACAATTCTCAAGGGCAAATTGATGTCATTCAATCACCCTTCTTAGACCCCGGATTTGGATCCGAAGGCACTGTCGAGGAATACGTTGAGCGTATTCTCTTCCATTTGTCGGACATCATCGACGAACAACGACCTACATGACAGTGGAAGATCACCGGACGACCACTTGTCTCTCCAACTCCGACCAACTTCCCGTTGATCAAACCTGCTGGCATCCTCTGTCTTTCAGTGGCATCACTCGGATTGCTGGCATTCCTCCTCCGCTAACCCTACTTCCAACGAGCAATCAAGAGGGAAACTCTAAGTTGAAAGCTCTATTTGTTAAGTGACAGATTTACATTAATCGCATATTTGTTTTACTATTTCCTTGCTATTATTTCGGATCGTCCTGTTAATCTAACGTGTAACCACATACTTGAAGCAATCGATAACCACGAAAACTGAAAGTCTTAACTTAGTGAAACATTAATCCTATAATTTCATTGCTAAAACAAGGTTCTTATTAAAATCTTGCAATTCCATTGATTGTTTAACATCAGATTAGATTAAAAAAATTTATAGCACCATGCTAAAGCATCAATGGTGAATTTTTTGTTTTCCATTTGCATTAATATTTACTTCAAAACTTACCAACATTCTTCATTCTAGAATGTTTATCTTAGCATTCTTATGATATATTAGTGCTTATTTTAGTAGATAAATTATTTAGAATATTCTGTGCTTAGAATCAATAAAACAAATATTAAGTGCATTATCCTATATTGAGATGAGATTTTCTTGTGAATCGTCCTTCAAACTTGAATGTAAACGATTGTATGCTCCAACACCAAGGTTATGTATATTGCACTTGATTATTCAAATAACTTAAGATTTTGGTTAGTTTCTTTTGGGTTAGTTTCTGATGAGGACATCAGTCGAAGATTTCGACGTGTACCGTCGTCAGAGTCGTAGATCGACGACTACGATCTAGAGTCTTTATTTTTTATATATTTTGTATTTTATTTTGTTCTTGCATTTTCTATTTTTCCTAGTTTACCCCTGCGGGTATTGAGTCGTTATTGTAGCCCTGAGGGCATTTGTGTCTTTCTGGTTTTCTTTCATTTTAGCCTATTTATAAGAGGCCTCTTGCATTGTAATGGATGATGAATTATTGAATGAATTTTATGTTCTTTGCCTTGATTTTTAAGTGAGTTCATGAGAGGAGAAACCCGAGGAGGGTGATAGCACGACCCGTCAACCATCAGAGGATTCCAAGGTTCGCATCCCTGATCTCTTCTTTTTTCTTAAATTCAACTTCCTCTCCTCACCCATCATTCGCCGGCCTCCCTCCACACCCAAATCCCTTTTCTTCTTCCCAAACCCGAGCCCCCACCCTATACCGCCGGCCTCCTTGGACGCCCCACCCACCGGCCAACAACCTAGCCGCCGGCCTCCCCTCCTCCACCCTACCTTCCCACCGTCCCCAAGCCAACCCGCCGGCCAACCTGCTCCCATAATTTGAAATTCAAATTCAAGTGCATCCATTTTCTTTCCTAATTTACATCCTAAGCAATTAGGAAAGTTTACTTTTTTTATAATTCAATTAAGTGATTGGATTCCAATGTTTCCCAGTGCTTTAAAACCATTTAGGAAACTTTCTAAGTAGATCAAATCTGAAATCAAATTTCATATTTGGTTTAACCTTTGTTTATTCTCTTGAGGGCCCACTTACTTAACATAACCTTCTCTCTCTTAGCTCTCCATATGGCCAGCCCCTCTCCATGATCTCTCTTTCTCTCTCTCTCTCTCCACTTTTCATTAATTGCCCTCAATTAAGACCCTCTAATTACCTCCTAGATCTATCTTGACAACACATTCATTTATGTTTAACTACGCCAAGTTCACAATTTTTTAATTTTCATACAAGCAATTCTTATGTCATCTTCATGGTATCACATCAGTTTCTTTTGTGAATTTTTGGAATAATGAAGTGGTCATTTGCACTATCCTTCTTCAAGGATCGTCCAAAAGAGGTGACTGTAGATATGAGGTTGTTTAGATTTTATCTCAAGAATTAAAGTAGAAAGTAGAATAGCAATAGGCTTTTCAACCAATGGACAAATCTTCCTTTTATTTTAGATGGCTCCATTTATCTTATTTCTTTTCATGATTCTTCTTGCCTTTGTACATTCTCTTTCTTCTCTTTTTTTGCTTTACATATGGTTTCTTCTCTTCTTTAATATCTCAGATAGATAGAGAAAAGGAGAGCTTCTAAGAGAAATAGAGAGGCTTAACTAGCTATGGAGAATAGAGAGACTTGGTAGACATTTGAGAGTGTGAGAGAAAGTAATTAATATCGAATTAAACATTACTTTATTAGGAATCATTAGTTTCCATATCCTTTTTATATATAGGGGATGCTTGTAGGGTTGTATACACAAATATGAAAATGAAATTAACTTGCATGAGAACAAGCCTTTACTTTTTTCCCCCTAGGCTGCTGAAACTCCTCTTTTTTGCTCTCTTCCCCTTCTCTCCCCTGAACCTCTTATCATTTCTGTTTCAGTGATAATTTTACTTTGGGATTATTTGTTTAAATTGCTCTCGTTAATTTCTTAAAGTAACTCCATCGCATGTACGTTTCACATCAGTTTCTCTTCTATTCTTGGTTGAGTCCGCTCTCCCCTTCTCCCTCTTCTAAAATTATCCATAAGTCTCCCTCATCTCTTCTTTTAAGCGGGGTGAAAGTGCAAAGAACTTCTTTAGGATCATTTCACTTCAGTAGTTGCAGTCTCCTTGTAATTCGTAGTCAATCTCTTAATATTATGACACAAATCCACAATAAAAGGCTATAACATATTCAAAATATCTCTAGAAATTTTTTCTTCTTTCCTACCTTGTCTCATTCCTCATGGTGATTCCAGCATTTAACTTTTGCTATACCCCATTTCTAACTACTATTTGCTGGTTTCTTGCACAATTTGATTTTGCTGTTTCTAGTACTTTAAATTTATTTACAAGTATTACAGGAAATACCATTTGTGTTGATGGAAATTAAGAATTCAGGACCCTCTATTATAATGACTAATGAGGTGTAATAGAACTTGGGAGGGCGGGTCTGGAGCCATTGTTAGTTGTTCCCATGCTAATAAGTAGGTCACAGGGTTCAGATCATGAATGCAACCTTTCTGAAATGCAGAGGTTAAGATTATATGTATATCAGCGCCTCCATAAACCTTATATTGATAGGAGCTTCACTCAGTTGGTACACCCTTTTTTTTTTAAATATTTGAGTTCTATGATCATGCAACTGGTAGCCAGCTAGAATGGTTCTCATAAATTTGATTCCAATGTTAAGAAAAAGAAAGTTTTGCTTTGCGACTTACAAATCAAACGACATCATAATTTGCTCATGGAATAAATATTTAATCACGCAATATGAGTAGCTTAAAACTTGTTAAACCTTATTTACGGTCGCTTAGAATGCTAAATCTAAGCAGTAGTGCTAGTGATAGACAACTTGGATTATGCTGTATTTCACATACGGACACTTTTTAAAAAATATATATTTATTATTTTCCTAAATGTGCCCAGCTTGATTATTTTAAGTTGCTCTGCAGCTATGCCGTAATAACAAATATGAAGCTACCTTGATTTGATATCTAAATGTAGTTTTTCTTTCTTTTTTTTCCAGCTTTTATATCAAAAATGGTCCTGGAAAAGAATATCTTTGCTGGAACTGTAAATACCCTCCCCAAGTCTAAAGACACAGAAATGCCTAGTTTTCGTCTGGATAGAGCAGGTGGCCGAGATCTCTATGATTTAGATGAAATATCCAATGGTACACTTACAATCACTCCCTCTAGCAGCATCATCAATATTTTTTGCTGACTTTTGCTAACATTGCTGTTAATTGATGGTTGATATTATTTAGTCTCTCTCTAGATCTCTGATGTATATTTTATTAACTTTGATGTCTATTGGAAGTTTTCATAGTTGTTGCATATTGCAATTTTTTTTAGCCTTCCCTTCAAAGAGATTCCTATGAATATTTTAGTTACTGATTAAAATAAATTTCACTTGTTTAATAGGTTAAAAGTGAGGCAGTAAGTGCTAGATTAAATTATCATGGTGAAAAGCATTTCTTCTACACTTTTTGATTCATCTTTTTGCCAAGACATGATATCTTTCCTGTTCATCTATGACTGATGACTTGGCTTGTCATTGCCATTAAACTAGGTAATAGAAGATCATATGCTTTATTGTAGAAGGGCCTCTCCCTTTCAACTAATGAGACAACCTACTTATATGGAACTAAATCATTAATTAATTTTTTGTAGATCTTCTAGTTTCTTAAGGAAAAGGATAGAATACATTTACTTTATTGATTAAACTGTTGACAAATTAATATAGGGTGTCTTAAGGTTTGGAATTTGAAATTCGGATCTATTATATGATTAGGATTGTAATTGAGTCAAGTTGACTTGTGAACTATCTTGGGCTCGGACTCGTGAATTGAACTCAATGAGCTAAAGAGACAAGCTTGAGTTAGCCCGACTCAACTCGTGAGTTGTCTCATTTAAGAAATTAATAATTTAAAATATGTTTAAAATATATTAAAATTTAAGAGTATAAGTATAAAACTTTTAAAATTATTTAAAAGTTATAGCACATTTTCTTATATCAATTATATTTTTATTGTTTCATCTCTAATTTTTCTTTTTGTTTTGTCATTTTACTATAACAATTAATTAAATTAAAATCTTTGTTTTTTCTCTTTAATAATAAATTACCTTGAGCACATAGAATTAAAACTGAATTCTAACTCAATTTATTACTCAAGCTCGAACTTAAACTGAATTCTAACTATTAAATAACTCAATAAATTACCTTGAGCTTAGCTTGACTTATTTACACCCCTACTAGATACCAATTATAAATCCAAAATAGTTATTTAATATTTTTTGATGAAAACGGGAAAATGCTAGATATAACAAAATTATATGGCCCTATAGTTGTCATTAATAATTAGAATTAAAGATCACATATATCTACGCAAGTTTGAAATGCAAGCCTCTTCTAAAAATATTGAAGAAATATGTCAAATTTAAGTTTTGCCAAAACGAATAATATTTCATTTTTATATCAAGTGTATCCATATGCTCACACTTATAATTCTTATGTCAATAAGGATGTGGCACATATCCCTTGTTTGGATTTTTAGCCTGATTGTAATGGTACAATTATATTATGGTTATAATTAAGGCCCAAATGTTTCCCAATTACAAATTTTATGAGTTGTAAGCTAATATGCTCTCTCGATGGGGCATGAAGCTCGTTGTTAGCCAAGATCAACTTTTGAGTAATCTCCTTTTGTTAGCTATCACCTAAGTTCAATGGGGTTTCCTTGGACGTTGCAATTCATGGCTACTTAACAAAATTTTTTATGTTAAGTTAGGTCAATTTTTTATGTAGACCAAATTAACTACGGTTTATAACAATATTAGATGATGGAATAATAGGATCTTAATCAAGTTTGTCATTATTTCCCCATCATCCTTTTTGAGCCAATAACGATATAGCTTTTCTTTCCAAATTCAAAATGCTACCACTTAAGCAATGCTCATAGAGCCTATAGTTATACCTTAATCGAAAATTCTCTTACGCGATCCAGAAGTTTAATTAATCATATAGACTTGACGTATAGATAACATAGAACCATATTATAAAAACCTGTACAAGGTTGAAATTCGAAGTAATATCTTATCTAATATTTAATATTTCTTCTAAAAAATTGATCTGAAATCACTCCAATAAGATGGAGTTTGATGGGGATTTTTTGAACCCACAAAGTTTTGTATAAATTTTTATTTTCTTTTGTAAAGTTAGCTTAAATTATTTTAAATTTATTGCTTAAGGCCTTTAATGAAATAAGTAATGATAACATGTTTATCTATATAAAAATAATATTATAATACAATAACTTTAAACCTAGTAAAATATTAAAACAAATAATAATTACTTGGTTAGTTCTTAAATTTATTATATAAGTGGTCCATAATAAAAAAAATGATAAATATTATTAGTCCATATATATTTTGTTTAAAATACAAAACATTGTTAAAAATATTGAGCATGTTTAATAATTTTTGTTTTAGCAAATTCAATATTTTAGAGATAAAATATATTATTGCTCTTCAAGAAATATTCCAAATCTTATTCCACTCTTTAAATTTAGGAATATACTATTTAATCTTAGAATTGTTATGGTGGAATGTTCATAATTAGATTTAATTTAAATTACATCATGATATTATTTTATTAGCTGATCCAATTATTATAGATGGTCTATTTCTAGTTGATATTATGATATAACTCATAAACTTTGATGCCAAATATGATGTAAGACATCATAGGGCCTAGGTTTAATAATATATATTCGTAAAACCAAGCTATGAAATTTTGTTGGTTGCAACTTTTAATTTTAACAATTCTTCTTTACTTGCCAAGAAAACTTGATGCAAATGGCATTTTAATATTTAATTTAACTTGAAACAATGTGTTTATATTTAGAATCTTGAAAACCATTAAACTAATTTAAAATTATTTATTCTTAGATGATCATATTGCATCTACTTGAATAAATTTGATCGTGCACATAAGCCAATAATAAGATTATGAAAATATAATGTCATGCAAATAAGAACCTATCCTGAAAATTTTCAAGTTTCTTACTTCATCAAAGAGTTGACTCTCAAAAATAAAAGGAATAAGGCATGAGAATAACTTTATTAAAAAATATATTGTATTGTAGAGGTGAAACCCCCTCTTTTTTATAGAGATAAGCTCCCTTCTTATTTCCTTTTGCTAGTATGTAGTCCACAAAAGCTGCACGAGCAAAACAAGAATCCCAGAATCCCACCAATCGTGGAAGACTTGCTTGCATTGAAGATGCGATAGAACCCATAGAAAATTTTGCAATATAAGGCTTTTATTTCCGTTGGATTAGATGCACTCATACCCTTTCACAACTAAGAAGTTGCTGGAGCCAGACAAATCTTCACAAGACAATATAGCTTTGCATTTATTGTTTAGTGGTAAATAATTTCTTGTGACCAATAGCTTGCTTTTTATCATGATGTTTGTATGCTTTCTTTGAGCTCTCACTGAGCTAGCTTCTTTTGGCAGAGTTTTACTTGTAACTTTTTCTTCATCAATATATTGGCTGAGCCCAAAATTTTCCAAAAAAAAAAAAAAATCTATTAAAGAAGTGTTATGTTTTTATTGGTTATCATAAGTTTGGATCCCATAGTAGATTTGCATTAGAAATCTTTGATCTTAAAACATTCTTCATTAGTATTACTTAGGCTTCATTTGGGATAGCTTTCTTACTGCTTTGTTTTTTAGACTACAACTACAATTTCTATTTGGCCACAATTTTTTTGCTGTTTTAAAAAAACAAATTATACTAAGAAGTTGTTTTCTATAACATCTTTAAAAAGTTACTTTCTCTATAGCAGTTTTATAAAGCAGTAAGATAGTCATCCCAAATGAAGTCTTAATCTTTTGGTGGTACATTATGATGGCTGATGAAATAATATTTCTACTTTTTTTGTTTTCCTATGGCTTTGAAATGCATTTGGTGTTTAATTGATTGTTCACTGATTGCATTGTTACTTGCTGGTGTCCAAATCTGTGTAGCAAGATAAATTTGGTGGTAGCAATTACTATCCCTATCTCTTTTTTAATTATTTCTCTTTTATCGGGTGCAAGAATATTTATGTTATTCATAGCTAGCTACATTTAGCTTTTTCTCCCCCCATCTCTATTCATATTATCTCTTTAATTTTGAAGATTATAAATGCATTTAGAAACATAATTAGCGCACCGGACTACTTTTTGTTTTCTGCTTATTGCACTTAATATTTCTTCTTCTTCTTTAGTATTTACAGTTCAAAATTGTGTGCTTCATGATCCTTGTCAAAATGAGAAGAGATTTGTTTTTGGTTCATCTGCACGAGTCTCAACCTTGATGAAACCTACTGCTAGTCATCTTGCCAAGCATAATAATCATCGCCAAGTGAGATATGCTCATCAATCAGCACATAGGTTAATTCTATACTTCAGATATAGTTTAATTTTATTTAATTACATTTTACTTATAAATTGATGTTCTTTCATTCATGAACGCATGCAACTGATTTACTCTGGTTTTTTGTTCAACTTTGTCTTTTCCTGTTAGTATTGAATCACTTGAGTTTTCAACTACAACCTCATTAAGTTATATGCAATTGTTTTTCATTTCATACTTATTTTAGTTTATATGTATTGGTTATATTATTGCATATATATCTTACTTCTGTTGTTTTAATCTTCAATTTTAGATTGCAAAAGCCGCTTGTTGAGGAATGTGTGAAGAACTCTGAAGATCCTTCAGAAAATGGTGTTCAAGCTGCCAAGAGACAAAAACTAGAGGGTGGAATTTTGCGGAAGGTTCTGCCTCAACTTTTTTAGTGTATAATTATCGTTATTCCTTCATCAGTTAGATGCATTTTAACATGACTGTATACCATGTGCTTCTTTTTGTGCTTGGTAATATTCAATAGTTTTCAGATAACTTCCACGAAGTTTGGAAGACAATTTTTTAATAGCTTATCATGTTAAAAGCTATTTGAGTTAGCTAGTTGATCATATCAAACGTTATTTGAATATGCTCTGAAATCATGATTTATGAACTTAGTCGGTATGAATCAATATCATTTGATTAGTTCTATCAATTTTTCATTTGACATCTACATGGACTTAAACTCCAGCATTTAATAGCTTGCCATGGAACTCTTAGAGACTCTGGAGTCATACCGGACATTGTTGTAAGCATTTATGAATGCCATTTCTTTATCATGTCTTAGTAGTGGACTTATATCTGTCCACTGTACACATGATTTAAAATTTATTGTTATAGTATATCCAATGGACCGGCCTAACATTTGTCCTTTGTCTCTTTTATATAATTTGATGGTACTTGAGCTCTTTTGCTTTCCTTCACTATTTCATTTGTAAGCCCTCACGTCCATCTACCTCTATCTTTTCAAAAGCCACTGGCCACCTCTTGTTCTAATTGTCTTTTTCCTTAATGGCCTGCATTGCTGACCACTAGGACTCAGACTTCTGGTTACTCTTCTTCGTTGGTCAAGATGGCAGCCACAAAGAGCTTGATGCTCTCCCAGTTCATCTCAATAGTGATCTCATTTCTGTCGACCACCTTCTTTGAAATTGTGAGAGGTGCATTGATGTCAATGCTTTACTTTAGGCAATGCACCAATTAGCTTGTCGGCTCACCATCAACCTCTTCGTCATGAAGTTGGAGATATCCTTGCTGCTCTTGATAAGAGTTGCATTATACCTTTTGATTTCTTCTCCTTGGATCGAACATCATGAAGAGATAGGTATGAAATTAGATAAAGTGTGAATCTGATCTTGAGTTTTGTAACCATTAAATTTGAAAATCAAGACTAGATTTGGTCCACACCTTATCCAAGATTTTCATTAATTTAAACTGACTTTGAATTAAAATTGCATGAGAGTAACGTAGGGAAATTGAGCTCCACGCATCTTAACATTATTATGAGTTGCTGAATTTATTTATGTTGCCCTTGCCCAAGTGTCTACTGATCGAGGACTTTATTCGTGTAAAAGACTATTCTAAAGTTTTTATTTGAATTCTTTGATAGTACTTTTCATATGTATTGAGCTAATTCTGACTCTGCGGCTTCAATTTGAGAAATTTCTGTATTTGTTTTTCTTATTTTGACAAGATTAAGAGCTACCTCATATTTAATGTCTACTTAATTATATTTTAGTGCCGTCTTATAGTTCTATACTTATATTAATCTTTCACATGTTTTTTGTAATTGCAAGAATACCTAGTTTTTCCTTTTTTTGCATGGCAGGTTGTTACCGAGAAGCAACAAATTGATTTGATGCACAAGATTCCAGTAAATGTAAGCTTTTGTAGGGCACTGTTGGAAGTCTTCTATTCGTCCATTTTGCTAAAGTCGTAAACTCTTTTCTGTTTTGAAACAAAATAGTAGTTCATTAATTTAACCCATATGGTGACTTGTTTTTTTTAAATGAATCTTATTGTCAGCTTTTCTTTTCAGTTAGCCAAAAATATCTACGCTCTTCTTTTTAATTTTTTTAATTGCAACTTTATTATGGGGGATGAATTTCCTCGCTCGTTTCACCACCTTCTAGAACAACTTCAAATTCAATAATCCATTACATTATATATTTCGTTTCAGAATAACAAAACCTCTACTTGCAAACTCAGACTCACCATTCCTAGAGAACCAGTGCTAGAAACAGCACAGAGGTCACGGAGAATAAGAGCTCAGAGGTCTTTGTTTATCATTTGTCGATATACTGCTAAATGCTTACCTAATCTATAAAAAACTTTGTTCAAAAAGTTGTTGAGCCGCTTTACCGGTGATTCAGGTCAAATGTTAATAAACTATCACAGGAAGAAAAGACACCAGTTACAACAACTTTTAAATCTCACCCTCTTAATAGAAAGGTAGTTCTTTCATCTCAAGGAACAATATCTCTAGACAGCATGTTGTTTTCTCACGAAAAAAAAAAACTTACGAACAAAAAATCTTCATGATAATAATACAGATTACTGAGGCTCCCTCAACGCCTAGCTGCCTGAAGAGCACGCCAACATTACCAGAAATTCAAGTAGGTATTTTTAACTTTTTTTGTTTTAATTGTATTGACCTGCCTCTCATTTGCAGCATTAATGCTCGAGAATATTGCATTTTATTGCTGCTGTTGAGTTCTTTTGTTACATTTTTGCTTCTCAGAATTTTAAGTTGAAGACATCTGAGAGGGATTTTAAACACTCTGCAGCTACTTCATCATCATTGGTATTCTTTTATTATTCTGCTGGTTTATTTGTTGTTTCTTTTTTCCTTGGTTAAACTTGAGTTCATGAGATCTGCTTAGCTATGGTGTAAAGAGTATTTGGCTAACGTTTATGAGTTCGTTTTTTCTTAAATTTTTTCAGTTGAGTACTGTTATGTAGATCTAATTTTCCCATTTTCCCAGTGCAGGTTGTAAACAATCATATCGCAGGTAGATATTGTGAACAAAGTGTTAAATCACACTTGAAATGTTTCCAGCGCCAACCTTCTATTGCTTCAAAATCTGTCTCGTAAGTCTTAACTTTAATTTAACAGTTAAGTGCGTACAGTTTTTATTCTAATATATGTACTTTATTTTGTAGGAGCACACGATGTTGATAATCTTCCTTGCATTAGCTTTTAGTTTGAATCGTAAAGAGTATCATGTGAATCTGACTTCCAATGTGTGCTCTGCAGGCATTTGTAACCACTCAATATGCTTTTGTTCTTCTGGCTATTCATGTATGAGTATGATCATATGCATATTTATCGGCATATAAATCTCCCAATACTGTGATTTGTGGCGATACAGATTCCATTTTAGAAATGGTTATGGACAATGTTTTGATTGCAGATGGACTATTGCAAGCTTGCTTCCTGGCTTCTAGTTATACATGTATCAAGTTTGAATTGTCCCAAAAAGCTGCATGAATTTTATGCTAATTAATTCATTAAGATGGTTATTTGAGTGTTATGGTAAGCACAATTTGGCATGCAAAATAATGATTATTATGTCTTTCATTACTCCAGGCATATGACTCACATTTTATCATATATTGATAATTAGTTTGGCATGCTTTATTAAACTAATGTGGAAGACTTCAAGTTCTTTGTATAACATACTAATTAGTCTGTTACTTTTCCGCAGCATGCGATCTATTTTATGGAAACGATGGGAATCGCAAAATAAATGAGATCAATTTAATTGTTTTGCAATTTGGTAAAACATTTTGATAGGAAATACTTGAGTTCGCAAGTAATCCTATTGGAAATACTTGTTTGCAAGCTACCCAAACAATAAATTGGTAAAAAAATAGCGAGAAGGAATACAAGAACGACAACGAAATCAACCTAAGATAGTAGATTGTATTAGGGCAATCAAAACAAAGCAAACAAAAAGCAAATATACAATTGATCCTCAATTTGAGAGGAGGATTGTTCTCTCCCAATCTCTAGACGAAGAGTCTAGAGCCCAAATCACCAAAGAGAACTTTAAGAAAAACAATAATCTAGCATAAACCCTAACCCTAACCTCTCTTGCCTATTTAAAGCTTAATTCACTTGAATTCGAAATTCCTTTCCCTCCTAACCGAGCCGCCTCCCTTAATTAGCCATGTTGGGCCCATGGTTTGGGCGGCAATCACATAGGAGGGGTTTTGACCTGCCTCCTGTAAACTAAAGCAGGCCCATGTGGGGACCCAACACATTTCTGCATATTGGAGGAGAGACAGTGTTAAGAATAATTAATTCACTATTTTTTTTGGGGTGCATAAGAATAACATTCCAAAAATTGATAATTTTGATGGCCGTCCTTTTTTACTCTGTTCCTATTCTAACCTTTTGGCTCTGCGTTTCTAGCATGTAGTATTATTTTTCATGATTGCTAAAATGGCAAATTTTTTTATATTATTTTTCTGAACTGTTGAATGTTGATATATTCCTTTGAAGTGCGTTTCTCTTATAGCATTCTATTTTTCCAAACGTAGCGTTGATCAGAGGATTCATAATGATGAAAACATTCGGCCCAAATTTAAAGCTAGACCACTTAATAAGAAGGTAACTCAAAGAATGATATTTTCATTTCCTTTTTCTTCACCTCCATTCTTTCCAATATGCTTTTTAGATGTTTATCAGTGTTTTTTTCTAAATATATGCAAGTCAGTTAATATCGTATTATGTACAACACGGTGGTGATTATTGGATGTTTTAAGTCTTGAAGTCTACACTATTGATATACAGAACATGCTCGTTTGCAGATTTTATCCAGTAAGGGGGATATTGGTGTCTTCCGTTGTGCCAAGCAAGAAGCAACTAAACCAATGGTATGCCTGTTTTCTCTATGATTTTAAAACTATTTATATTACTGCTCTCATATCCTTTTTTTGCTGCGACTAAGGAATTTAACCTTTCAACAAACAAAAGAAGCCAGCAAGATCTGCCGCAAGATCTGCCAACGGAACTTTTTAACAAGGTGAATAATTTCATTCGTTTATTACTTGATTAACAGTTAATGTTTCTAATCTGAGCCACTTTTGCACCATTGTTAGCAGGATCCTGAAATCAATTTACACTGTACTTTTATTCTCTTAAAATTTGTTATTCTGTGCTTCCTGATATTAGTTTTCTTCCGTTTTATGTTGGAGTTGAAGCTCTCTATAAACTCTGATGGATCGCACTGTTCTGAGAGTCTGACATCGCCTTTATGGCCTTCTCACGGATCTAGGAAGGTTCTTTTATCTTTCTTTCTTGCAAATAATGTTTGCTAACGTGCATTGCTATGCAAGGTAACCTTTTCCTAGAGATTTTCGTAAATGACTAACCTATTTGATGTCAGGTTTTAAAGGGGAATGTAAAGTACATTGCACAACAAGGACATAAGGTGTGCTGCATTGCTTCTAAAAGAAACTTTTTCCTAGCTGTTAGTGTTAGCTTCATCTTCCATTTTGGCTACAATTAAGAATTTTTTATACAATTACGCATACATGTTTGTAGGCAAGCTCTGAAAATCAAGGAAACTTATTGAAGAATGAAGCGAAGCTGTTTGGTTTTGAGAATGAAGATTGTAGCTATCCCAGATTGGAAGCAAACAATATGAGGTAAATTTAGAAGGAAAGCCAAATCACACAAGTTTTGCCTTTTTATCATTTTTTATTAAGTTCCCAAAAGTGGTTTGATGAACAACTAACTGAATGATTGGTTAAGAAGAACAGAAGTTGCCTTTCTATATGTGACTGGAACCTGAAAATATAATGATTCTCCAGGCATGTAGGTATACTGTTGAAAAGGTTGGAGTAGCTCCAATGGCAGATAAGATCAGAGAGAGTCGTCTTAGACGGTTTGATCATATAAAATATCAGTCTTCTGATGACTCGATTAAGAGAGTAGATGTATTAGATTTAGCCTATATTAAGAAAGATAGAGATAGACTTAAAAAATTTGGCTAAAAAATATTAGAAATGACATTTTTTTTTAATTAGATTTAAATGAGAATTTGACTCTTAACATGACAATGAAGAAAAATGATTCATGTAGCTGACCCCACAAAGTGGGATAAAGGCTTGATGATGATGTTATAGGTATATGCAGAGCGGGGTGATAATTGGGAAGAGGATGGAAGTGTATGATAATAAATAAACTTCTGCAGACAAATAGGCATCAATATTTGTGGGTTTTATTTGAGTTTTTTGTAAGCTGATCTTTCAGTTTTAGTTGAGATGAAATTAAGGGGTTTGACATTCTTGAAACTTTAAAGATGGTTTCTCTTTTAAGAAATATGCTTATTTTACTTGTTATAGTTAACATTGTAGCTTGATAAATTCTCGTCGTCCTTTTTACTAGCTCGCACATTGGAAATAGACTATATAATTATTAGATCAATCAGTTAACGGTTACTTTTTTTTCTTTCAGCTAATGAAAATGCTTCTTAACATAGAATTGGTCTACCGTGCTAGACATGTTTTGATTGATGATTATGTTTCTCTTAAACTATCCTCAAAGTTCCTTAATGCGCGCTTCATATTTTCTAGTAATGTAATTTAGCCGTAGAATTTACCCAGAAAACGCATTGCACTTTTGCATTTTGGTATCGACTAATTTTATAATAGTTATCATCAAAGTCTTACATGGTGTCCTGATTGGATAACCACACCCACCCATGGTGACTTTCGGGTTACCCATCCACTTTCCATGCTTTTTGAACGCAATCTGTCACAGATTGATGGCCTTGAGGCTTATTACCCTTTGCTTTGACTGCAAACTTTCAAGCCGCATATTAGAAATTATCGTGGTCGAAGCGCAGTTCAGTGTTGCGTGCTGCGTAATAAGGATTGCGATAATATACGGTATACGGTGATTAGAAATGCGTGGGTGGGTAACTTGATTCCATTGCTTTTCTATCATGCTACTTTTTTAATGTGTGATAATTTTTTTTTTTAATTGCAGAAGGCATGTAATCCGCTGATGGAAATTTCAGGGAACAAATCTATTTTTTTTTTTCTAATGTGGAGGCTATGCTTTAAAGGTTTAAACAACTCCTTCGGATAAACTTTTGCTCCTTTCTTTTCCACGGGGATAGAAAGATAGCCAAGTTTTCACGAGGCAATGACCTGGTCCTTTTGGCCACAATTTCCACATTAAGTGAAAATTTCATTACTCATTAGCCGAAGAATGTGGGGCTGGCAACCTGCAGTGTGTTACTTATATGAGTGACTGAAAATTGGTGCACATAGAAGCAAAGTATTTCAAATATTGGACATGTCGGAATTCGGTCAAAGTCTTGTACTGAAATCTGAAACATACAAAATTTTACAATCCCCATAAATTTATAGTCTGTAACGGTCAATTTATATGATAAAATATTCTGTAATTGAACTGGCATTTCCATTGCAGTGCAAAGCACTAGTCATTCTATTCACAATTTGTTATCCACAGACATAGCTTTATTGAACAGCTGGTCCATGTTTGCTGTCGCTACTGTTGCTTCATAGATAACGGTTTTATATTAGCTGTTGCTAGATTCAACCTGCACTCCTGTTGCATGGGTAATATTACCTTTATTATACAATAAGTAACAAATTATACTCATGAAAAGTAAAAAATGAAAAAGATTTCCTTTTACGTATATAGCATCAATAGTTATTTACAAACATCATTCGTATAATCTGCAGACGGACAAAATAACTCCACAAATAATTCCAAATGCTTTTTTTTCACCTTATTAATCAAATATATTCTTAATAACATCTCTATCCTAACATCACGAAGAGAGACGATGTAATGTGCTGACATGATGAGTGGTAAAGAGCAATTTTCCGAAATAATATAGATCAAAGAGTGCACCGCTTATCATCGGAGTCATGCCCCGACGAGTGGTGGTCGATGGCGGTCGGAATCAGAGATTTCTTCGCCCACCGACGAAGATTATCATATCTACTGCGCGACGCCGACGCCGATTTCGTATCTTTGGCGATCTTAATGTTTCTGGCAGATGAGCTGTGCTTGCTCCGGCTAATGGCGATGGCGAGATCGTTCGGGAACAGCGAACACCACACAAAGCCATGCAGCAGCGTAGAGATGAAGAGAGACGACACGATCGCCGAGGATATGACCGCGAGGCCAAGCGCGAGCCCCTTGCTTAGAATCGTTGGAACCTCCTCCGCGTACTTTATCGCCGCCATTGAGGCCGTCGTCATCGGAAATGTATACGACCACCACGCCACCGAGAATCTACAAGCACAACAAAATACATCGAAAAAAAAAGAATTCAGAGCACTAAAATCAAACTGAAAAACAGGGAAAAAAAAAAAGAAGCTCGCTCACTTGAATCCCCTGAAGAAGTTGATCCGCACAATGAGCGAGGTATACAGAAACAGAGCGATGAAGTAAAAAGTCCTGGCGACCGCATCGAACTCGCCGTAAATAGCATTCCAAGCAAGACTGGCCGCCGAAGGCGTGGCAATGAACATGCAATACACCGGATGCAGCTCCTTGGGCAGCGTCTGGCTCGTCGGCAATCTCTGATACAGCGTCACAAACACACACAGATAATGCGCAATCCCAATCGCCCACAAAAACTTCCCCGCCTCCCCCCACCCCACCCTCGCCGCCAACACCGCCCCGACAAAATTCCCCACCACCGACAAATGCGAGGACGGATTCGCCAACTTGCAGAGCCTCCGCTTCCCGCCGGATAACCACTGCCCATATATCTTGAGCTCGAGGACGAAGACGGGAGCGAAGAGGGCGCACCAGACGGCGGGGTGGAGCCTGGCGGGGGCGAGGGACGGAGGGGCGCCGATGGCAAGGAACATGCAGGATATCCAGGGGGCGAAGAAGAAGTTGATGCGGACGGGGTGGAAGTACTCGCGGCGGACGGCTTCTAAGAAGAAGGCGGTTTTGAGGGCATAGGTGAGGGAGACGGAGACGAGGGTGAGAAGGGCGAGGAACCAAATGGCGGTGTTGATGTATGGAGGGATGTGGAGGAAGGACATGGCGGGGTTGGTGGAGAGGGATTGCCAGAGGATGGTTTGGCTGCCGAGGCCGAGGCAGATGCCGAAGCAGTTGATGGGGAAGCGGAGGAGAAAAGGCCAGATTTGGTCTGTTGGGAGGAGAATGTCTTCCGAGTCCTGTTGCAAAGCGGCGGCAAATTTATTAAAACATATTTTGATTTTTTTTAAAAAACTTTTAACCTATTAAAAAGCTTTTTTTTTTATGAATATTTAGGTCATTTAAGACAAATTCACACACACAATGCATATACAAAGACTCGAACCCAAGACCTTTTAGTTGGAAGCCTAAGGTGAATTGTGTATATTAAAAAGCTTCAAACTCAGAATTTTGGACTGATAGTAAATAGAAATTATTCTGGGCAGGTTTCGAACGCATCTGAAGATCAATTGAGACATGTCATATCATCTAATAAAATGTGCATTGAATGATGTGGCATGCTCAAGTTGGCCTTCAGACATGTCCAGACACCTCACATAATAATTTTTTTTATAGAAAAAGCTCTTGGATAAATGATCAAAATGAGCTAGTTATGATCAAAATGACATAATTAACATGAGCTAATTATGATTATAACAAGCACGAAGCTCCTATTGATGAAGCTAGGATCAAAGGGGTTAGTGCACACACCATGACCTCTAGATCAAATTTTGATTGGTCTAAAATTAACCAAACTCTTAGAGGAGTTGCATAAGTAAATAATCTTTCTTGTGTGTATACCTTTAACTAGAATGCCAGGATCATCCAATATGTCTTGAGAACTTTTATAATTCCTAAAGTTGGTGATCATATTAATATAACTCCTCTTTTGTCTACTATTACATATTTTATCATGAGCAATACTCATATTGATGAAGCATAACTAATCATGGACTACATCTATAAACTTTTTTGATATTGGACTTCCTCACAATAGGAGGAAGAAAGATGTGGCCTTAGGACACTTAGTTGCCTATATTTTTGAAAAGAAATATAATCTAATCCATAATGACCCTCCAACCCAACTTCTCATTTACTTTACCAATGCTTCTTTTTGTGCACTATTTAATCATGATCAAGGATTTGAGGGAGAAGAAGGATCTCATACTCTAGCACCATCTGATATGTTGACAAGCAGGAAGCTCGCTTTGATATATAACAAGCAGGAAGCTCGCTTTGATATGTTGATTTTGAATTTTGATTATCAATGAAGAGGTTTTGAGTCTTAGGTATATGATGTGTGTATGAGTTTTTACATGTAAAACAAAATTTAAACTAGCTAGAAACACTTTTTTTTAATAAATGGTGTGCAAATGACTAATATTTGAGTCATCATGATGATTAGTATAAATTTGTTAATTGAATCAAAAAGTATATATATTTTTAATTATAGTGAATTTAAAATATATTAAATTTAATTTAGATAAATATGATAAATTTTGATTGGGTGTATATATTATATTAATTTAAAGATAAATTTAATAATATTAAGATTTATTTTAATAATTTTTTTTTTACATTTCTGATATCATAATGTATCATAATTAATAAAACAAAAAAAGTTTGGAGTCAATTGAAATTGGATTGAAAAAGAATGTGATCGGTCAAATTAATTGGTGATTTTAAAATTATTAAAAATGTTTAAAACTAAAAAATGATAGAATTTAAAATTTTTAATTTGATTGATACCGATTTTAATAAAACAAAAAGGATCTTGATTCTCTGATTATATTTTGATCAGACAGAATTTTAAAATAATTGAATAATTAATAAAAAAAAATATGATCTGCACAAGTAATGCATTAAATCCATTAACGGGAACGTTACTTACCTTAACTTCATCCAGCTCCGGTCCACGAAGCGCGGCGAAATATCGACCGGCAGGTACGCTCTGGTTTATGGATTCCTCCCGGCCACTTTCGCCGCCGCCGCCGCCGGCGGAGGAGCCATCAGCGTTCTGTAGATCGAACCCGCTCTCCTTCCTTATTGGAAGCATCGACAGCTGCTTATGAAGAGTTGATTTAGTCCGAAACATACTAAAGTCTCCCTTTCTCACTCCATCAGCGCCGGCCACCGCTCCGGTAGTGATCCCAAGACTTTTCCCATTCCTAGATAGAATCCTCCTGTCCTTGGCGCCTCTAGGGCTAAAAGCTGCGTTCTTGCCGCGATTTGCTTCCGCGTTGAGCGCAGCGAAGCCGGTCTCGAGAGAGACCTGCCGACTGAAGTTGTGGTGCGGTGGCAGCTGAATCTGGATGACCTCGCCGGAGCTCTTTCCCTTGTGAGAATCTTCGCCGTTTGGCACCATTGCTTCCGGTGGGTGCAGAGTGAAGCAAGACGGCGTTCATATGTAGCAGGGGAGGAGATGCAGATTGATCCACAGATGAGGGACGTGGAATGTAAATTTGTAATTTTGTTTTGTTTGTGGTGATCTTGGGGTTGGTTGGTTGGTTGACGAGAAGAGTTTTGGGGAAGAGAGATTAAAGTACTGGGAGGAGGCTGATGTGCGTGAGGGTCACGGAATGGAAATCCAATGGCGGACTGTAAATGTGGCTGAGGATCGGAGTGGGGGATTTGAGGTGAGATAATTAGCCACCAGGCCGTGAGGCGGAGGAGGAAGGCGACGGGCCCTCTTAAAGACTGTCACGGGATGGAGTGGGGATGCCATCAAAGCAGTGAAGACAGTTTACTATTTGCCTATTTGGTTCTAGAAGAGGAGACAGGCTGACCTCTCAGGCTGTAATTTTGGAGAAACTATTAGGTGCTATGTGAGCATAACGTTACTATTTGCTGGATCTGAAGTATTATTTGGAAGGAAATCAAATAAAAACATGCACATATGTGAGTTTAATATAGGATTAATTTTTTTGTGCGGATGACAAATATCGTCAGAAGATCAATCAGAATGCATCACATCATCTTTTGTTTGGTATCGTGGCTCGGTACAGTTGACATTGCTGGTCTTTGAACGACATTCTGCGTCCGATCTCTGCACATAATAATTTCTCCTACTGCACAGTCGAAATGTGTTTGGATTTCACATAGATTGTGCCAAGCCGCTTCTATGTACAAACGGTGTGGCACAATCTCATTGAAGTCCGAACACGAACTACATCCAGACTCTGCACGTAATAATTTCTCCTAAATTAAAAAAAAAAATTCTTTGTATAAATCTTATCTGTAAATTATGATAATATATAATTACATACTCGTTGTGTGTTGGAGTATATAATTATTTTCTTACTATATACATTCCAATCAAATAGAGTAAATAGTGATTACATATTCATGAACAAATATTCTAATTAAGAAAATATTACTGTGTGTGAATAATGTACAGTGCTGTGTATGTTAATAAACTCAATGCTGTGAACGTTTCATAATAGTTTTTCCTGTTAAGAGCAATGTTTTCATTACTTTACTTTTTAGATCAATGTTATATTTTCATTATGTTATTAAATTTTTTTTTGTTCTTCAGAATTTTTTTAATAAAAACTAGTTTTTAATGTGATAATTAAAAAAAAAACACTGCTATCCAACTATTTTAAATAGATGATTATTTATAATTTGTAGAATAGTTTCTTAAGAAAACTATTCCTATAATAAAATTTTCAAAAAAAAAAAAAAAATTCAGCCATTTGGAGCATTAACTTGCTAGCTCATCATTAATCTTTTCATCAGTGATTTTTATCACAGCAAAAATTCATGAATAATTCTTTATGAAAATGATTTTTTATGATAATATTTTTTTTGAAAATATATTAATTTTTTTTGAGAAAAAAATGTACAAATTTTCACTAGAATATAATAAAAATTAAAACAACTTGGTCTTGGAAATATCTCTCAAAGCTTCAACAATGAATCTGATAAGAATTTGAGAAAAAACTAAGAAATTAAACAATCCAATTATAGCAATAGCTTCATCTAAGAACTCATCACTACAAAGCATCTGAAAATGATTGAACTAAGGTTTTATTTGAGACTATTTTCTTAGGCTTCGTTTGAGACTATTTTTTTATTGTTTCTTAAAGTCGTCCCAAATGAAACCTTACTATTTCTTAAAGCATCTTTTTGGTACAAAAATTTTTGTACCAGAAAACTGCTTTAAGAAACAGTAAAAAAATCATCCTAAACAAATCTTAAATTAAAGCTGAAATTTAAATTGAGAATACATACAATAACAAAAATTATATTACGAACACCCACAACATCAATAAGATCATTGAAATTATTTTGAATCTCCCCATTGCTACTGATAGTTTGAATCATATTGGTTGGGACAATTTGGGAAATGCTAAGTTTAAAGATTTCTATCTATACTATTTGCTAATGATGTTCAATTTGACTGGCATCATCTGGTTTGGCATAAAAAACATGTATTGAGGTACTCTGTATATTCCTGGATGACGCTTAGAGGAGGTTTAAAAACTTGTGATGTTTTGGCTGCTAGGAACATTCCAATTTTGGATAAAACCTGCAACTTATGTCATAATAGTTTGGAGACTACATCACATCTGTTGTTTGAATGTGAATATTCCATTTAAGGCGCTAGTCAAACTCATCCTTTCCTTCCAGATGTACTATTTTAGGCCAACCATTTTTTTAGCTCTTCTACATATTGAAAATCTTGATAAGTCTAAAAGTATTATGCATGGCCGTCTGCTTATTTTGAATGTTGTTATATATTTTATTTGGCTGGAAAGAAATTATAGAAGGTTTAAGTCTAATGCCTTATGTGCAAATTCTCTTGTTAAGAAAATCTCTAAAGCCATTATTATCAAGTTAATGGGTTGGAAAATGGCATTGAGGTAAAGGAGGCTTCGAAACTGGAATATTACTGATGTGGTTCCACTTAATATCTTGTTTATGTGATGGGAGGTTTGGTTTCTATTTGATTTAAACTGTGCTGCAGTTAGCTGGATTGAATATTAATTTTTTTTTTCTGTATGTGAATCTTTGCTCTGGGATTGCTGGTGTCAAATATTTGATGCCCGACCCATCTATGACGGTGATCTAGAGCAGCTCGGCTATCTCAGTGGTTTTCTAAAGCTTAACAAGCAGGTTTTTTGGCCTGTGGACAATGATGACAACCTGCTTTCTTCTTTCTGGATGGTCTACGGGCAACCAAAGAAGAATTGGGTACTCGTATCATAAAATTCAGTACATTTCTGAGTCCCAGCCACACAGATTTTCTGTCTAATCATTAATTTTTTCTCTCTTATTTTTAGAGTATTGTTGTAACAGTATTGTTGTAACAGTTTGTTGTTTTTTATTTTGTTGTTGTCATGTTATTAGGTTTGAACTGGTATTGTTTTTTTTTTTTTTTGCTTTTGTAAGTTTTTTTTTATCAATAAAACGGGTTATGCCCTCATTTTTCCCAAAAAAAAAAAATATGACGAAGTATCAACCATAACGACTAACGTGGTCCGAATAATATGGAAAGGGTTATATGGAAAGTGTTTAGTGGGAGTAATGCAAAATCTCTTATAATGCACTCTAGTCAAGTCTTTAGATCCTATCCCAATTCCCAATCTTAAACACCCTCTCATTCTCTTTCTTATTCCCTTCCTTCAGAGTTAGCATTTTTTTTTAAATTGTATTTTACTTGTGGCATCTCCAACCGAAAAACTCATTTTTTACTTCAAAATGCAGTAACTTGTCTCCAACCGAACTCCATTTTCTAACAAAAAAAAAAAAAAAATCTTTCCCATACTTCATTATATATAACTTTCGAATTAAAAAAAAAAAAACAAATGGGGGGTGAACAGTGCGACATCAATATTGACGTCGCACTGTTCACCTGCAATGAAATAGCGTCAAAATTACCGCTCGGTTGGAGCGACGGAAGAACGACAAATGGTTGTTTGCCGTTCCATTGGAGATGACCTTAGCCATCTATCTTGAACCTCCTTTGAAGATCAAGATCCATCTTTGTTTTCACAATAATAATTATATAGCCTAAGTAAAAGTATTATAATAAGTATAGTCAATCAAATTACAAATTAATGGTGGATAAATATTGACAAATAATCATAAAAATTGTTATACCCTCTGTTGTTCTCATCTTTTTTTTTTAAGCTATTTATGTGCCTACTAATCTATTTAAAATTATAGATACACCTCTAAGATCATCACTAAATGTAAACAATTTCATGTTAGTTAATAGAACCAAATCAATAGAAAATAATTTAAAAAAGAAAATTTTAATTCTGAGGTGTAAGATATACCACAATGGTGGAGGGGAAAAAAAAATCAAATTTAGGGTTTCTAATTGAACTAGCTCGTGAGCCAACATGTCGAATTGGCTCAAGATTGAGCTCAAGTCCATATAATACTCAAGCTAAATTTTGAGCTCAATCTTATTGCTCGATTTAGTGAGTTGAGTTCGAGCTAATCATAGAATCATCTTATCATGATAATTTAATATCAATATTTAAATTATATTTTTATTAACAATCATTCTAAGCTTTTGTGCTTATTTATTTAATATTAAGGCATTTTATGGTTTTTTAGTGTTGAGCAAAAAATTTCACAACCGTATGGCTTCAAATTCATACTCTCTGGAATGAGAATGAAATCTCAAACAACTAGGCTTCGTTTGGGACAACTTCATTACTGATTTTTAGTATAAAATTTTTTATACTACGAAGTTATTTCACAGCCGAATCCCAAGTTAATTACGTGAGCATGCATTTGAGCTAATCATTTATTTTTTTATTTTTGATACAAGCTTATACTAAAAATCTTTTTATATTCTCATCAATTTTGTTTATTCAAATCAAATATTTGTAATAAAATATCATTTCCAACAGAAACCTAGAAACAAATGATCTCCCAATTTAAGAAACAAGCCCAAACTCCTTCTAGCAGGCCAGCCTAAAAGCAATGTGGACTTCCACAGGCTGAATTAAGCAGCTAGCCCGTTAATCATTTCTACTTCGTGCGGTCTGAGCCGTCCGTTCTCAATGATAAGAAGGGACTTGTGCTGGACACACGCTCATCGCCGAAGTAGGCAAGATCGATCTTGAACGGCTTCAGTCAACCCTAGAGAGAAGATGGCATCTTACTCAGCCATGGTGAGCACTATCGGAGCTCGCTTTGCTTACAGTCCATCGATGGATGTGCCAAAGAAGAGACAGCCAATGCCTTCATTGGCGTCGGCACCTTACCGGCGGCGAGATTCCGCGCTGGTGGTGATGGCGGTCGCAATCAACCAGGAAATTCGCAAGAACGAGGATAAGGTCGTCGATTCCGTAGTTGTCTCCGAGCTCTCGAAACCTCTCACCGCCTACTGCCGGTAAATTCTCCCAAAACCCTCAACCCTGTTCTTTCTTGGCTTCCCCTTTTCACCCTTTTTCGTCTTTTATTCTTCTGCAACATGTTGATCATTGATATCCACCTGGCACCTAAATAGGTGCTGGAAATCGGGGACGTTTCCTCTATGCGACGGGAGCCATGTTAAGCATAACAAAGCCACTGGCGATAATGTTGGCCCATTGCTTGTAAAGAAGTGAGAAATTAGCTTGTTAGGCCTCGTTAAAGAGTAATGGTTGGTTTCTTCCCTCTTTTAAACCTTGCTGTTCTAAAATGTTTTAACTGTTTATGAGTTTAGTTCTCCCCACTAATATATATGCTATGACTGTAAGTTCTCCCCAGTTCTTTGTTATTCTGATGCCATTTAGTTTAGAATACTGGCTTTTCATTCAACTTTTTACAATAATAAAAAAAAAAAGCTTTAGAGCTACAATATGCCCTTCTGGCAGCCCTTGAGTGAAAATGACTATTACAGCATGATTGATCATCCAATTTGATACCTTAGCTCCTTAGTTGGCTAACTATGATCATGGAAATTTCCTTCATGAAATATATGTAATGTTCAACTAACGGGCTTGTGCAATAATTTAGCTTTATCTTGGAGTGTTCTAACTCCATTGTGGTCATCCTCCTTGATTGAGCCATCAAATTCCAGTGCATCTAGGCAACGAGGTTACCCACACACCAAACTTAGATGAGTAGAACCTGTGAGATTCTCAGAGGTTGGATATGAAGATCATTTGATGCTTACTAAATTTGGTGAATTTTGAATGGTAGGGCATTAACTATGTGCACTGTCAACATAATCAAAGTTGCACCCCAAGATCACTATTGGCCTATTGGGTTACCCAAAAACTGACCGGTATTGGAATAGGTAACAAGTAGTTTGTTTTTTTGACATTGGGCTTGTGGTCACTAATAGGTAGCTATAGACTGAACTATTGTGACGGTATTGTCTTGTTCTCTAATTGTCGTGGTCACCAATCGGTTGCAAGATGTGATTACTGTTTGCATTTGGTCACAAAAATCATTGATGATAACGCATATAACGACTAATATAGCGTCAGGTCTTCTAATCACTTATTTCTGATTGTGTTGACTAAAGTGCCATTTAGTAACTATTTTGTAGGTCACCAAATAGTTGAATTCTTGTAATGTTTGGATCTCATGAATTTATATTATTGCCTTCCAAATGCCTTTTAGGAGACATGCTGTTAATATAATTTTTTGTTTGTATCTCAATTTCTCATTTCATAGCCTTTTGTACTCTTTAATAGTTTTATGTAAGGACAAAAGGGATGCCTGGTAAAAATTGAAGCAAGTATTTATCGGGATGATTGCAATGCTAAATAGGTGTGGTAGTTTTACCAAACCGAAGGATACCAATGAAATAGCTATCCTAGCTTGAATTCTGATATATATATATATATATATATAGGAAGGCATTTTGATAGTTTTACCTGAATGAGTTTGTGGAGGAATAGCTAAGGTCTTAGCTGAACTTTAAAGTACCAATCTCAACTATATGCAGAATCTGTCGAGTGCATTGTTTTATTTCCTACTATAAAGGACTTTGGAGTTTGGAGCGATGCCACTTGTTCTGTTACTGACAAAATTCATTCAGGCTAATTTCGTATGGGTGGGTGTTGAATGAAAGTAAAATTAGTTCCGTCTCAAACAATCTGATCAAATATCCAATGAGGATTTTTTAAATGCTAAATGTGCTTGCTAATTAAGAGTTCATTCACAGTTCTGACATTTAGCCCTGTCAATTTCATAAAAATTTGTGATAGAAGGATAGCAGATGAAAAAGAAATGATATTAAGTTCAATTCTATAAGAGTGGATGGTTTGTAATTTTGGCAAATAAAATAGTTTATATTTTGAATTTTGAATTGCATAGCAGTACATTGGAGATAAGTATTCTTGCTTTAGAGGTCTTCATTGTAGAGAAGATAAGATGTATAAGCTTAGTATAATAGTTGAGCCAATAATTATTTCAGAAACTCCAAATTTGCTTCCACCAAGTAGAGCTTGTTGAGAGTTTTCCATAGACTACTAAAATACTCGATTGGGTGATCTATGGAGTGGGCCTGTTACTGTTAATGTAATAGTTATAGGTATAAGGTCAAAGATCCGAGTCGTTTGATCCCCATATGACAATGATCAAGGGATGCAATTTAATCTTAGGGTTTAAAACTTATAAAATGCATATATTTATCACTTTATCTCTAAATTTCATCATATAAGTTTCAAATATTTAAGAGAACCTAAAATATATTAAATCCTATTTGCCAAGTATTTCATTGAATTTAAATGAACTTTTAAAACTTAAATAATTTATAAATCACTAATATTAATTAAAAAATGATTAAGTTAATTATAAAGGCTCTTTCATGTCTAATCAATCACTATTTAAAGTTTTTATTTCCAATATTAATAATGTATAAACTCTGATGATTAATTCTAAGCTCATATTTTGGTATGTTAAATCAATTTTTAAAAATATTAAAATACTTTAAAAATGTATAAATATTAAAACATTGATAATGTTTTTTGACCGTTACTTTGGACTATCCTAATTAGCTCTAGTTAACCGTAAGTTAGTTAGTTGCTTGAGTTAAGTTATCATCTTGCAATCCCATCTTTGTAAATTGTATGACATACATATACACATCACCATATTGTTTCTATTCAATTGTTTATGTTGTCTTGTTACTCTACCCCATTATAGGTCCCTTTGTGCTTGATTACCATTTGAATCTATCTGTTGACTAGTATGATTACATGGATTCTCATCATGCAAATTCCAAGAAAATAAAAGATCATGCTTAATTGAGAATATTCTTTGGTATCGCTATTGACAATAATAATTATTGAGGTTTTGCTTCCATAGGAAATTAATACACCATAATCTTTAAAGTCACTTTGGCATCTCATGTTAGTGCAGGTAAATTCATGGGAGATTAGTCTCACTCTTCCTTTCATTAACTCTCATGTTTGAGAAAAAATTATATGACCATTTTTCATCTTCTAGCATTTTATGTTTCAACATCTTCTCCCTTAATATATAATGCTCTTGTAGCCCAAAATAGAATTTATCTGATTCTTAATCTTCCTCAAAAGATTGTATCTCTCTAGGGCGATGGATGCATGAGAAGTGGGTCTTCTTACTGCACTTCCTTGGATATAAATTCCTAATTATTGAGGTCACTAGGTTTTAGAGAGCATCCTTAGGCATTTTGTTCCTTGAATATGTACAATATGTACGTTTTGATATGAGAAAGATGTGGTTTTACTAGGCTGACATATTGTATAAGTTATTAGTTGTAGCCTTAAAAACCTCCTTTGACTTAGGATGCCATAACTTAATAGTCAGTGAAGATGGTAAAGTTATGGGATTCACAATTGATGGCCAACTTTAGCCCTACTATAAGAGCTTCGGATTAAGTCACATTATTGGTCATAGAGAGTTTTGAATGAAGTTCATACTCTTGAGTTGCTTGTTAAGGGATATGAGGAAGACCCAATACTTAACAGTAAAACCTCTGAGGGATTAAGCCAAGTTTTATTGTAGTGTTTATGAATGATTCTCTTCTTCCTACCATGTTGGATTTCTTCAACATAATGGCATTTGCCAACCAAATGGGTTAATGAACATCATTAATAATCTTATCCTCTTGGAGTTTATCCACCTTTTGTTTAATAGTTTGCATGCTTTATGAGAAAAGTTTTGCTTCTATTAGATGTCTAGCTTATATGTGAGATCCCCTTGAAGAGAAATCATGATTATGTCTTGATCAACACTAGGCATGTTTAGTGTGCTTTTGGGAAATTTTTTTTATTATCTCACAATGAGTCTATGTTCTCATCTATTTCTTTTGTAGAATAGTGATCGACTTGCATAATCTATATTATATACATGTAGTTCATGTTCTTTATATATATATATATAAGAGATGCCCTATATAGGGTATTTTTATCTTCGAGTCAAAATTATTTATGTTGAGTTTCACAAATAAAGAGATGGGCTTACTATAGATAACATGATTGTGTCGCTTAGTGGTTTCCTAGCGTTATGTTAGTCTAAATGAGGGTAGAAAATTCTTAATATGCAAAATAAAGGTGACAACATCAATTATTTACTTGAGCCAACTCTTGAATATGGCATCATAATCAATTTGGATCTGACTACCATGAATTCTACGAGGGGAGTCACTTGCTAAATAATTCTGCAAGTGTGTTGGAGATTTTGATGATCCCTTCAACACTTATAGTGTAGTTATTGACTCTATATAATATTCCAATGGATGAATGAATGTTTTTCTATAAAAATTGATTGCATTGTCAATCATGATTTTGGCCTCAACACAATGAATGATGTTAGGTATTTTTACATACATAACACTTAAAACTATTGAAAATATATATTTAGCATCTAAATTTCTATATTTACTAATATATCATCTAAAATCTTCTTTTCCTTTTATTCTACCACTCCATTGAAGCGATGACATACTTGTATTCACTATGAAAAGATGTCATTAACGGGGAAGATATTTGTTGATGATGATTTTTGACGGAAGGTTTAAATGGAATGTTAGAATTGATTAAAAGAGGGGTTTTATATGGTATATTAATAAATATAAAAATTTAGGTGTTATGATGTAAAAATCCCATGATGTTATTGTAAGTGTGCAATATGTCTCGTATTAATGAAGAGTAAAATAGAGAAAGGTCGATGCCCTTATGAGGACTTCATGTGGTAGCTTGGGATCAACCCTTTTGAGGAGAACCTCAAAATATTCTTTTAAGGCATTCCATCATCAATATTGTAGATCTTGTAGAGGTTTTGATGAGAGCCTCTCATAAAATAGAAAAGCAAGCAGCATGGTTTTGGATTCATTTGGGGGCAGACCTGCTCCGAGTTCTGAAAGAATTGAAAGGAAAATAAAAAATGTAAAACAATAGTCTCGTAAACAAAATGTCGTATCTGTTAACGTACTCTTGTTTCTAGCATTGTTGCACTCTTTGGGTCCAGTTTCCTTGCAATTTCTTGCGAATGGAGAGTTTTGTCTCCCTTAATACATTACTTTTCTATGCATCAAATGCGACATACTTTTGCCACTTTTGTCAAAGCTATTTTCCTTCAAAATATAGTAACAATCATATCAAACAATAATTCATCTTCAACCGAATTTTATTTCTAACACAACAAAAATATTATAAATATATTCTTTCTCATTTCTAACATAAAAAATGGGTTTCTCAATAGTGTGATGTCAATATCGACGTTACACTGTTCACAACCGAGAAAATATAAAAAATACATTTCTATTTGTTATTCGAATGGACACTCGTCCGAGTTGGATACAGGCGAATGTTGTTCTATTGGAGATGCCCTTAGTAGATAATTTGTCTTTGTTATTTGAAAAGATTTTGTCATTATATAAATTATTTCATTAAAAATAAAATGTTTCACTAAAAATAATTGTTTTCTTTCGAACAAAATGATTGGCTAAAACTATATAGTGAGAAAGGCTTGATGTTATTGTTGTTGTTGTTGTACAAAATCTTAATATCGTGGATATCGTGGAAGCGATTTTTTTTTAAAAAAAATATTTTGGCACCTAATTTGTCCTACATCAAATTTCTATTTGGGCATTTAATATTTAAAAGAATTATTTTCAATAAATGCATTTCCAACCAATAGCATTTCTAAAAAAATATTTACAAGTTAAGAAATAAGAAATACGTTTTTATTCATCACAATGAGAAAAAGGAAAATGTTGAAATTCACATATAAAACAAAAATTTCTCTACCATAACAGAGAGATAACTTTAAAAAAATAAATTATATCATTGGTTTAAATGGGTTGTGTATTTCGACCCATCAATTCGATTTTAACTTAAAAATTTCTTTTTTTTTTGGTATAATCTTTTCATATTTATCAATTTTCTTAAAATTCATAATTATTAATGTTATTAAAATATTTAAGAAAGAAATTTTAAGGAGCACTATCAATGTTTAAATTAGCGGTAGGAGCATATTACAAAAATAATTTAAAAATGAGCAAATTAGTCAAACCGTTTGGTGCATTTTATTAAATATATCAAATTGTTTGGTGCATTCTATAATTTGATGTATATGAAAACATCAAATAATTGTATGCATTCTATTGAATACACCAAACAGTTTGGCGCATTCTAATTAATGCTATTGTTGCAAAATTTCATTAGGGTTCAAGCAAAATCTTACCCTAAACATTATTAGCATTGTAATTAGCTGATTAAGCAAGCACAAAAAAAAAATCAAAATTAGGCAAAATTGCCCGTTTAGCAAAACGGGCGAGTTGCTCATTAATATTTTTTTAGCTGATAATTCTTGAATTTAAAAAAAAAATTAAAACTAGGCATAATCTCCCTTAATTAGCTGGTAATTCTCCTCATTAATAAATCTCTCCCTTAAATATACCTACGCAAAACTGTACGAAGCAATCCACATTAACCATTTCTACATCTCTTATTCAGCTCGCCTGATCCGAACCAACAATGGCAACCAAGCAGGACGTGAAAGTTCTCGGCTGGTCGGCGAGCCCTTTCGTCGCGAGAGCAAGGATTGCTCTCAATCTGAAGGGAATTGAATACGAGTTCCTCGACGAGGATTTGGGAAGAAAGAGCGATCTGCTTCTAAAATCCAATCCCGTCTATAAGAAGGTTCCAGTCCTCTTTCATGGAGGAAAGCCAGTCTGCGAGTCGCTCCTCATCGTTCAGTACATCGACGAAGTCTGGGCTGATTCCGGTCTGCCCATCCTTCCCGCCGACGCATATGACCGTGCCGTTGCCCGCTTCTGGGCAGCCTACATCGATGACAAGGTATATTTTTTAATTTTTTTTTCAGAATTGTTTTTTAGACATCCAAATAAATATTTTCAAAATATTTTTAAATTGATATTATATATATTTAAAAATTATAAGATTATTTTTAATTTTTTTTTTAAGGAGCATGATGTAAATTTAAATCATGAATATAAATAAAATATTTAAAGAATTTAAAAAGAAGGAAACTAGTCAAATGATTTCACACATTCTAAAGAATTAGTCAAATCATTTGTTGCATTCTATAGAATGTGCCAAATGATTTGGTGCATTCATCGTAGTAAGCCGAATTAAAATCTAAAATTACTGTTGTTGCGTCCAAGAGTATTTGTGGCGGTAGAGAAATATAAAGTTTAACGTCTTAGCGTTGTACGAAAATCTGGCACGCAATCAGAAAAGGAGAGAGGGTCTAGCATTTATGAGACACCAAAATTTTTACGTGGAAAACCCCTATAAAAGGAGGAAAAACCACGGGGTCTAGCTCAGTTTGAACGAATCCACTAGTATTCGTAGTCGATTACAAATGAGGCCCTTCCTTGGGAGAAGGCCTTAGCTTGATGTACATCTTATGGAGTACATTACATGATGTAAATACAAAGAGCTACTATCGACGTATTCGCTTTGTTAGAAGGATTGCAGTCGGCAGGCGATGTAGGTCAGGAGGACCGTAGTCAGCTGGCTATGGAGGACTGTAGTCGGCAGGCGACGTAAGTCAGGAGGACCGTAGTCGGCGGGCGACGGAGGTCGAAAAGATTGTAGTCGGCGGACGACATAAGTCAGGAGGACCGTATTCAATGGGCGACGGATGTCGGAAAGATTATAGTCGGCGGGCGACATAAGTCAGGAGGACCGTAGTCGACTGGCGACGGAGGTCGGAAGGACTGTAGTCTGACGACGAAGATCAGTAGGACAGC